TCAAACGCTCTGGAACAAAAAATAATAAAATGTGGTATCTGTGGCTAATAGGCAAGAATTAATGTATAATGTTTTATCAGGTGACCAAAAGACAGTTACAACAGAATTTTAAAGTTCAAACTTCCAGCCTACTCCAGTTTATGATATAAAAATTACAGAGCTACGATAGTAACTTGCATTCATTCACATGTGTTGTTGTACCTGTCTAAGTCCAACTTTAAAGTGATGCTCAACCTTCTGTTATGAAACAATCACCCACTGTGGGCTTGAAAGGAGACAGTAAGACATTGTAACCAGCCATGATTTCCCCACAGTAGACTCGAGAAGGGTGATTGAAGAAGGGAACTTGCTAGGAGAATATCTGTTATAAAATATCAACAGTCATGTTCACATTATGTGAAAGGCCAATACCATTCATAATGAAAAATGAAATGAACTACATCTGATGAAAGTTCAGTTAAGAAGCATGTAGAAGGGGTTTCACAAAGATGTAGTAATTATGATGCCTAAATGCACGAAAATGCTGGTAATTATTGAGCTGACAGCTTGAAATGTCCCATTTAATGCTTCTCGAGTTTAATTACATAACATACATAATCATATTTCTCATCACACCACATGCATCATCTCCTAGACCATGCCCACCTGATGATAAGGACGGTCACGCACACTAAATAATATTAATAATTGTTAAGTATGTGGTCTGGTATGAGTGTAATGTCCTTTCCCGCCATTAGCACTAGCACTGCTGGCCCAGTGAAGCTCAGTGAAGCTAGGCTATGCAGCATCACATGAGCCCTATAAAGAACACTCTAAACAACATCTAAACAACAGATTGTCAGTTGTAACTCTGCTGTAGACACATCCTCTTTGTGTACAGGAAAGCTGTGACACTGACCACTCACTAAGGTACTCCTGGCGCCGCAGGGAGGTCATCAACTGTGGAAACTTCTTGTTGACCACTGGTGTGTTTCCGCTGTCACAGGGATAGTAAAATTAACCATGAATGTGCTGTCTTTCATGGCAGTGCAGCAGTAGCCTTTAGGGCATGGTGTGTGATGTAACACTGTCACAAATGTGTCATTCCCAGGGGCTTAAATGTTGGAGATACAGAGGGGGCTTTGAAGTGACACAATGAACACTGTGCTTTGTGCTTCATCAAGTCCCCCAAAACTCCGCCAACTCCCATTGTACCCTCAACGCCCCCCGGAGTCCTGGGTTCCAACACACAGACCCAGAGATGGAGGTTACATAACTTGCTTACAGGAAAGTCAGACTGATTTAAATAAAGAAAAATGACCAACAACATTTGACCCCTTTGAAGTTGGCACTGTGCATTTTTGCAAGCTTTAGCCTCCTTGTAAAAAATGTTTGGAGTTGGCCTTTTGCCAAAAGGTAGTGCTCATGTGTGCACACATACACACACAAGAACAAACATACTGACAGCCTCTGCACATTTCCCATGAAAGGTTTTCAGCAAGTGGCAGTAATTAGAGGGAGAGACAGAGCGAGAGTGAGTGAGGATTCCCAGCGGGCTTTGAAACAGTGGGGGGGGGGGATATGAAAGCCACGTCCCACGTCGAACCACCTCTCTGGTATTGTTTACCAGTGGACTGACGACACAGGGGGGTGTTTAATGAACACTGCTCCCCTGCCGGCTGTCTGAAAGTAGGTCTGTCCATCCATAGTTTCCTGATGACCCTGTGCATTATCGGCAGACTGCTGAAGGGAGGTCGGAGCCAGAAGAGAGAGGGCAGTCACTACAGATTGAGTTTCTTCTTAAGATCGATTCATAATAAAGTGTGCAAAGTGGATGAAGGCAAGCATTGCAAAGTAATGACATAACATGTCAATACTGTGATGGCTATTCATCAGGAGGAAGTCATGAGGACTGATACCTGTAGAGCCATGGTTGAACAATATACATAGTCCAGTCACAAAAATGCATGTTTGTGGGTGTGTATTTGGATAGATTCACATATTTTAGGCATTTAGCTGTGTCCTCTGAGTTTCTTTTTGTGCTGCAATAATTTTATTAAATAATTAATTTTTATCGCTAAAAAAACTGATAAAGAAGTAAGAAATGAGGGCAAAAGGAAAATAAATACAGGTCAAAAGTTTTGGGCATCAAACACGACATCCAGTCTGGCTCTTATCTTGGAGAGGCGACTGGCTTGATGGTTTAGTAGATGAGTCTAGGATCTTATCTACACTCGCATCCAGTGTCTCATGGAACCGGAGCCCGTCCTCCTCCGCTCAAACCCTCCCTCCCTCCTTGCTCTCTTGCCCCATGTTGTGAACATGACACCAGACCCAGACCAGATCAACTTCAGACAATCACTTTTTCAAAACACACATATAACAAAACAAAGAAATCAAAAACACAATTTAACGCTATTAATTTGAGTGTCAGGAAGTGAGTAAACTGAACATAGAGGATGAAAAAACAGCAGGTACTCACCAGCTATTTCTTTCTCAGGAACGGCAGAAGTGCTCTGGGAAAGAGAAGAGAATTTAGTTGAGATAGCTTAGGTTAGATGCATTTCCATGATTAAAACCCAGTATACACAAATTGGCCATACACAGACACACAAAGAATGTGGTGTCTAAAACTCCATGTACATAGTGTTCCCGATGTACAAACATTATAAAAAACGACACAAATAACTACTGTACCGAGACTTCTGAACAAATATCACATCATTAAAGGTCAGAGCAAACTCTCCTCTGATTCCACGTTGAGCCAACCCTCACATAGACATTACTGATAAAATCACATTTTGTAGCCATTGTACATTCTCATCATTTTGCACATGTAATATTCCCTTCTTTGGCTTTACTATGGGTCTTATATAACTAAAGATGTCTGGTAAAAAAAAATAGAGCAGTCATGTGTCATTTTATTGGTAAAGTGTGTGAGATGTGCGCGCGTGTGTGTGTGTGTGTGTGTGTGCGTGTGGAGGGCAGCAGTCAGTTGGAATGCAGAGGTCTTTCTGGCCTCTGACTTTTGACCTCAGGTTCCTTGGCTGACCTCCACACCCTGACCTGTTTTAATCCACACTCCCCTGGAACAGATCAGACAGGACAAGGAGGACAAGGTACATTCTCGATACAATGTATTCACTTTGTCCACATTGCCTTTGGTGTGCAAAACTTCTATTGCTTGTTCTGATATTTCTATTAAGATAAATGCCTTCTCCATCTTTATTGTGTCCCCTCAAGCTTAATTAAAGTAATTTAGCTGTGTCCTGCTGTGGCTACTTTAAAGCCTGTTTACCCTTTGGCACCTACTTACACAGCAGATTCAAGACAGCCAGAATCACACTGAATATAATCTCAAAAGGAATTAGTTCCACATTTGGGGAAATACACTTTTACTTGCTTTGCTGTGAGTTATATAAGAAGATTGATGCCAATCTCATGTTTGCACGGTAAATACGGGATAGTTCGGTATTTTTGAAGCAGGGCTGTATGAAGCACTTACCCATAGTCAGGGTGTTACCTGCAGAAGGTGGCTCCCAGTTTGGAGAATCCATAGTCAGTGTGAAATGGTCAAGACTGAACCAGAACCTCTAAATCTCACCAAAACAATACCTATTTTTATGATAAACCACCACAAGCGTGATACAGTCTGGTGAAAGAGAATACAATGCCTGCTCTCATACCTGAGTTTGTTTTTGTTAACGTGTTGGCTGATTAACTCGGGATAAAGTGTTGTCTTGGTCCCAATCTGTCTCAGTCAGATTTTTTGGATGCCAGTGGGTGAGCTGTCTGCGCATACATACTTTATCTTAAATCCACACGTCCATCACTAGTCGTACATCTGCCGAGGTGAGTGTATATGTGCATATGTGTGTGAATTTGTGTGTAATGTGTGGGCAAAAACAGCATTTAATCACTTTATGGGTTGTGTTTCAGACAGAAAGTGGTCTAAATTCCCCCTGTGGACAAATATCTTTACAATTTATTGCTGATTAATGACCTGAAATGAGCCAAAGACTCCTACTCACTCCTCTGTTACTAAATCACCAGCACAAACAGAACAACAGTAAGGTGAAATCAGAGATAGATTTATATTCAGTGCTGTTTCAGCTGTTGGACTCTCCCACACTCCCCTGTGAGCAAAACAAAGACTGTAGACTATCGTGTGAGATTCAGTGGAGACAACACTAACAACCTGTTTTGATTTTGTCTATTCATCAATTACGAATAAAATGTCTGTTGGCAAACAGCTTAGATGCAATATATTTCCTCCACTTTCTTATATTGTTACCATTCAACTTCACAAGCAGATTAATTTGAAAGATTACTACTCCATCCATGTTTTAGTAAATTGCTTAGTCTTTTCAAAAAGTACACTGTATTTTTTTAAACTTTAACCTCTGAAATCTATATATATTTTATATTTAAGTAGGAATAAATTGGCTGGAGCTGCATGCCACAGACAAAGTAGGGAAGTATCAAGAAAAATTAACCAACATTTTGTTGGGTTTAGTCTTTTTTTTGGAATATGTTGCCAATAAGAAGAATAATGAATAGCACCAGCCTTATCATTTTATTCTTCTGTGATACATTGAAATATATAATCAATCATATGGTATGTTACATTTAGAGAGCACTGTATAAATGCATATGTGCATTTGGGCCAAAGATTTCTTACCTAATATTGTGTTATAAAATACAAAAATCCATAACTTTCTGTATTTCTTATAATCACCTACAACTCCAACTCAGAGAAAGAATGGCCTTGAATAATGAAATCATTATGGGAGGTCTGTGTTGCTTCTCTGCTTAGCACATTCACTGGCACACTGGTCAACAATTCAGTTGACCAGTGTGCGCCCTTCCTATTGTGTAAACACCACACCACGGGTTCCTGTCAATGACCCATGAAGTCACTTACACACAGTGTAAATCTCACCTTCACACAATGCTGTGTTTTCCCTCATAATAGCAATTACAGTTGAATAAATGTGAGTGAGAGACCACAGAGCCTAACAAGAATTTGAAAGAATGGGTACCAGTAAGTACCAGTGTTTTCATAGCACCACGGTCACATATTTTCCCAATGTTTGCCTGTGTTCCCCCTGGCATGCCACAGTGCAGGTTGTCCCAGTGTGGGGTTGTACGGGCCGTGTCAGGTGTCCACTGGGGAGCTGTAGGCTGCAGAGCACACAAGCGTCAGCTGCCTCATTTACTGCCACTAATTTACTGGAAGTGGGTTGTGTGGGGGCACAGGGGGTAGGGTGCGTGTTTGCTTTACACATGTCTGTGTGTGTGTGTGTGTGTGTGTGGTAGCCTGCAAGCATGTGTGCCTGCATGGTTAACCACTGTAGGGCCATTATTGTAATTACTGTAGCAAGAAGCTTAGTGAAGTAAGTTTTACAATGAATCATTTAAGTTTTAATAATGATTTTTACAATTACCAACAGAAAAAAGTTCTTGCTTGTTTCAGAAATATTGGAATATCTGAGTTCTTATGTACTTGTAACTATAATATTACCAGAGGTTTGATACTAGTAGAAATAAGCATGCTATACATATATTGATACTTTCATTTAAGAAGTTATTGTGGAAAGGGTTTTTCCACAAAATATCCACACACTAGCTGCCTAAAATCACTAATTCCAAATTGGGATTCATTTAAAGTTGTAAAAAAGTTAATCTATCAAATATTGTGTGTGTCATGTTACTCCAGCTCTTCATTGAAGCTATCTGATGAGTGACCTGTCTTCAAATCTTTCTTCAGATCTCCACACAAATTTCAAATAGTTTCTGAGGTTTGAACACAGTTCGACTGCACATCATGAGAAGTTTGAAATAAGCAATGATATGATTAAAGAATATTTGGTCTCAGCTTTTGGTACATGACAGTCAATGCTGCGTACATTTTTCGTTTGGTACAAAAAAAAGCATTGAGGTTCAATTCCCAGTTCTAACAAATAGTAAGTAACAAATAATAATTTGTTTTTCTGTAATGGTACTTGTTTTTTCATTGTGTACAGATGTGTGCATGTGCTGTATGAGTGAGTTTGTCAGAGATGTTAAGCAAGCCATTGGCATGTGGCTCTTGCACAACAAATCCAAGCAGTCCACCGTGCCTCTCTCAACCCCACAATCACCCTCTCATCCCTTGCCCCCCTCCTGCACTGCAGCTGCAGTATGTGTGAGTGTGTGTTTGACCACCCATGGTGTGTGCTGGCCAGGGATTAGGGGGCTCAGGCTAACCCAAACCTTTTTCTCCACCACTTAACGCAAATGGCTAAATTGATGCAGATGGCTTATGGTCAGGTAAGCTGGCGGCTCCAGCACTAAATGTATGCGGTAAGCTGTGTGTGATAGAGGGAAGAGAGATTGTGTGTGTGTGTGTGTGTGAGTGCAAGCGCACGCCTGTCCAGGGCCTTTGGAGATGTTATCTGGAGCTAATTTCTGTTTTTTGACTGGCATGAATGTGCTCTTTCTGCCCTGCACTTATACAAGAATTTATTCTCCACGCTCTGTCGACCCCTGAGTGCACGTGTGCAGGGAAACGTGGGAAACAATTTCATTTTAGCCTTGGAAAAGTCCAACCCCCCAACCCTCATACTTTCTCCCCCGCATCCCCTTTATTTTAATAGTTTCCATATGTCACACTTGAAGTGTGTCAACAGGAAGTGATGCGATGACTTGGTGTAATGATGCGTTGGACTATTTCCAGAGCATGTATATCAGTGTCCAGGTGTTGGCTTTAACAGCTATTTTAAAAGAAAACAACTCCTAACGAAATTTGGTGACACTTGAAAACGTCTCAGTAACATGTACTGAAGTCTTGTATGATGCTAAAAGCCGAGGTGAAATCTATAGCACGAATGGGTGCACTTTCAGTCTCTAACTATGTTAGGAGGTTACTGATTTACTATACCCACTGTGTGCACACACACATACACACAGCTGAGGCCTCGTTCTCTCACTCAACCTTGAGTCATGAGATATGTCCTGTATGGGGTGATGTTGACTGAACGAGGGTGAGAAAAGTGGATATGCGCACACACACACACACACACACACACACACACACACACACACACACACGTCTTTGTTTACAAGAGCAAGGGAAAGCAACAGGCTTCTTGTTTCAGGCAGAGTCTGGTGGGGTTTAGTGTTAGCCCCCGGTGAATAAACTGCAAATTGTTGACTGGCCCTTGGAATCCATTACCAGATGAACTCTTCCCCCGAAAAGGCCCAAACTTCACTTGTTAGATCTTATTAGGTCGACAATCCTGCTGCTTTGTGCATCAGTGGAAACTGCTCATCTTCCTAAAAGATTCACTAATCTGCATGTGATCATCATCATGCGACTTATGGTCTTCCCTTATGGTGAAGACCATAAGGGAAGACCATAAGTCTTCTTCCCTTATAAAGTCCTCCATGAGACTCTAATTGGTCCTACTTAAACAATGTATAGTGCATGGTCTAAAGTGCATTGCTCAAGTGCATAGACAGAGTGAGAGTATGAACAGAAGTGTCAACATCATATAAAAACTTTCTTTGATCAAATGTTACCCTACCATTCTGTGGTTTCTCAGTGAAGTGTATGAACTACACTTCATCTGGAACCTCTTTTAACAGTGACTGACAGATAGATCTGCGTTATATACGGTCGTCTCCCTCTATGAAACATCTGTATCATCACTGCACTGCATTATTTAAAACTATGATGAACTGGTCGTGGGCACAAGGATGCACTATGTGAAAAAGGCGAGCCAGGGGAGTTGTGATGCTTTGGGCAATGTTCTTCTGGGAAACCTTGGGTCCTGGCATTTATGTGGATCTTAATTTGACATGTATCTCCTACCTAAATCATGTACATCCTATCATGGAAACGGTATTCCCTGAAGGCAGGGGCATCCCTCAACAGGATAATGCGACCCGCCACAAAGCAAAAATGGTTCCGGGATGGTCTGAAGAACACAACAACAAGTTCAAAGTGTTGAGTTGGCCTCCAAATTCCATAGATCTCAAATTGAGCATCTGTGGGATGGGCTGGACAAACAAGCCTGATTCATGGAGGTCCCACCTTGCAACTTACAGGACTTAAAAGGATATGCTGCTAACATCTTAGTGCCAGATACCACAGCACATCTTCAGAGGTCTAGTAGAGTCAATGCCTCGATGGGTCAGGACTGATTTGGAGGTAAAAGGGGAACCTACACAATATTAGGCAGGTGGTCATAATGTTATGACTGATCGGTGTAAACTTGACAGAGGGAAAATAATTCAACTTTTAGCTTCTGAAATACATTTTTAGACAGACATTCAATCGAATGAACCTGGACTGGGTTATGTGACCTTTTGGATGTGTGGAAGAACGCAGAACATTAATTAATATTAGTTCCTGATTGATCCTGTCAGCGTGTCGGGAGATTTAAATAATCTATAACAAATATAGTTAGGCATGTTCTACCCTTTAAAAGCAGGACAATATTGTATGGACTTTTGACCAGGCTTTTGTTGGTAAATGGCGCAATCGCTTTGGGCTGCTTCAAGATAGCAATGTGCCAACAACGCGCCTGACCACACTTCATTTTAAGACCAACACTCCCATGGGCGTATGGTCGTCATCGGTTGGAAACTAGCAAGAACACTTGCGCTGCGCTGTGCACTGGGTGTAATATAGGGCCCTATTGTTCTAACTAAGTACCCAATAACATTTGGTTGCCATTTTGTGATTCTATTTAGGAATCATGCAAAAATCATTGAATCTAACTTTAAAATGGGTGAGAAAGATGAATGAACTATCAAAAAGAAGCGTTATAGCTCCACAAGTGGTTTTAAAAATGTGGTATAAAAAGTTTGGAAATTGAGGACAAAAATGTACACATTATTCCACTCTTATCTTATTACATTGATTAGGAGTCAAAATGTGTCACCTGTTCCCGCTCACCAGGTTGAATTTGTGGCTTAATAGGGATAAGCCATGATCCCAACTGCACCAACAATTCTAGCCTGTAGATTAGTCACTGACATTTTTGGAGAGAGCAGAGTGGGTTAACAACACAGACGGATTACGGTCCTCTGTAGAAGACTGTGTGGGCCCCATAGCAGTCCTGTGGCAGACACACAGCTTTCTGACTTACCAGAAGGACCAGTTGGTGAGACCTTGCTGGGTCACAGTTTTTGTAAAATTTTCTAAAGAATGTACACTCTTGTCTGTCAACTTTAAAATGTCCTGCATGCTTGGTAACCCAGCTGTAAACACAATTTGTGCACATGTACAGTTTCACCTGCCACAATAAGATCTTTAACTCTGAATAAAAAAATTGGAAAAACTCATTTTAGAAAGTGTTGCCTAAATTGCACCTGGTTTTACAATGAATTCCTGTGTACATGTTTCAGCATCTACTGTATGAATGTGTGTGTGTGTGCGTGTGATTCTGTTTGTTTGTTCAGTGATTTATGGCAGATAATTATCAGCGGGCTGCAGGGGTGTTTCCAGATGCCTGCATTTTTTAGTCATCCTTAAGATTTACTGTCAACAAGTACCATCATCCTGCAACTATTTCCTTTCTGCTTTTTACTGTCTCCTTTATGTAATAGATGAGCATTTTGCTTCATCAACTAAGTGTGTGCCTTTAACACGGCCAACTCGTACTTGTTAGCAAAAAACGAGTGATGTTTTCATGTTGGATGAAAAGTAAGATTCATTGAAGTTTTTTTTTTTTTTTTTTAACAAGTACCATGTGGAGCCACTAAATCAAAATAGTGATTAAGTCCATGTGATTTAGGCTTCAAGCCACAGTATGCTGTCACAAAAACAAAGAGATAGTTGTAATTGAGCACAGGGGTGTAAACATAGATTTAAGTGATGTTTTACCTCCACAAAGATGCAAAAAGGGAAAACTAATTCTGTGAAACAATCAGTGTATCATAGCTCAAATCCATTTTAAGAGAAAAAGTATGCTCACTGAGTCAGGTTGTTATATGTGGACAGTTTCTATAAATTTCATGATGTTTTGGCTTCGTGCTCTGCTTTGTTGTGGATATTGTTTCCTGGCAATACTCTGCCAACTACAAAAAAACTGAAATATATTTACTCAGTATATCCTTCTCTCTCTTGTTCTTGGAGTGCTGTATGCAATGGCTATAGCCTTGAATCGACAGGAAAAACAAGGTTGTGGGGGTTGAGGAGTTCATTTTCCACATCCTGTTCCAAACACAAGCCTTTTATTTTTTCGGACTCTCTTTTTTGAAACCCCAGCAGGTCTGTGTTTGTCTCCTTGTTACAGCTGTGCTCAGCAGAGGAGTGACCTTGGAGACAATGACACCACACAAAGCGGCTAGCGTGGCCATGACCGGAGCCACTACTGGCACCCCTTGTCAGACTGAATGGCGGTTGGTTTCATAGCTCGCTGACTCATTATGGCCTACTACAGTCTTTAAGCCAAATATGTGGGTGGAATGTAGGCAAATATAATTATGCCTGCTGCACATGGTGTTGACTGTTGACCAAGGACTAAGGAGAATGATAGAGAGTGGGAGCAAATGTAGAGAAAAATAAAAAGGCAGTGAAAGTAACTAAATATTAAGTCTTTTATCTGAGAAGGACATTGAGAAGGTGGGGTTTGGATAAAGGATGTTTGGGGACTGTGAGGCTGCCAAACCGGAACATGGAGGAAGGACAGAGCAGAGATCTGCTAGTGACCTTAGCACGCAAACCACAGCGCTTCTATTGTTCACCAAACCACAGAGAGATAAAGAGCTATGTACATACATAACCAACTGACAGGGAATAAAGGCTTTCCATCATTGTAAAATAAAAATAACTCTCAATCAATCATCGTCCTAAAAAATCCCTTGAATACAGTCATAAAAACTCCAGATAATGGAAATCTGTTACTGTCAGAATCCACTGTCAAATAGCGAGGAGATGGCAGAATTTGTGTTTGGAGCTGTGTTGCCGTGGAGACAGAATACAGATCCAAACAATGGGTCAAAGGTTGCCCTGTTAGGGAAAGTTTACTAAAGATGGAGAGGATGAGGACAGGTATAGGGCAGCACCTTACCTGTCTCCATATGCATGACATGTAAAACACCCCTGTGCTAAATTTAACAGCCATGGTCTGTGCCCTGTGATCTGAATATGTCTTGCTGCTGGGAATGCGGTGAGGGTGACTGATATGTTGTTTCCGACTGTAACATTCAGAGGAAGGTGGTCAGGGGTCAGCAGCCTCCACCCGCCTCTGTGGCTTGGCACATCCTCTGCAGCTACAGAGCTCTAAAAATAGAGTCACGTAACAAATGGCTCTCACACC